AAAACATTGATTTGCGTTCGTTTTGTCCCCTTATTATATTTTAAATGGAATCTGCAGAATGTTCACGAAAAATATATAGTGTATGATTGGCCAGATTGAAGTCACGTGGAGATAAATTATACTGTGATCGGTTGGAATGAGGTCACCTGGGAATTGACGGCTGATTGAAATGGGATTACATGGGCCTTAGCAGCATTGTTTTTTCACAATTTTGCTGAGATGAAAAGAATGCTGGCCAGTAATTATGCAGCTGATACGTTTGTAGAATACAACATTTAAACTGTCAATTTGTCTTTGCAACATTTGCACATTGGGCTATTTTCCTACCCAAAGCTAAAAAGTATAAATAAATAAAAATAAGCAATCTATTTGTGTTCTACATCCTTTTTAAAATTAATATTACAGTACTCTTATGTCAATCCAGGAATTACTCAACCAGTAGATCTCAGGCCCAATTTCAGTAAATTATCTATTGAAAGCGAAAGAAGATTGTAGCATATTCTTGGTTCTTTCGGTAAAGTCACGTAGAAGGGAAACAATAAAATAATAATAAAAAATATACATAACAATAATAATATAACAATATTATTTTATTGTTTCCCTTCTACATGACTTTACCGAAAGAACCAAGAATATGAATCCCTGCAGTCACGAAGCTTTAAATAAAAATGTAAGATTGTAGCAATTAACATATTCTGTACTAATGGGTTACCGTCTCCAATACGAGTATGGGATTTACATGTTCATAAGTATCTATGAGTTCTATGCCTTGTCACATATTTATATGAAAATGGCCATAGCAAGCCATAGCATCAAGCCATTGCATTTGGCAAGACAATTGAGGTCATGAAAAGACTACTGTTACCTTTAAATCAGAGTTGTTTGGGAGTACATAAAAAAGACTATGGATATATATATATTTTTTATGATTTAAGCATCAAGAGGCCATTGAGATTAATATTTTTAGAAGAAAAAGACAGGTACACTTTTTAATTGACCATAGTTGTAGGTTTTGGGATTTTGCACGTATTGAATATTTATCCCGGGTGACTGAGTGTCGCGCTATTTGACTCCAGGCACTCATCACCATATTATTATGACCGGAATTACGGTACAGTAGTACTGTACAGTTAAGGCCAGATTTGCAAAATACCCGGTTTGTATGAAACATAAAGATGGTGCAAACATCTCAATAATGTCATAATAATAATTATTAACAATATTGGGTCATATTACATAAATATAAATGTGTCGTTAACCCACCACCACCCGGCACAGTCAATTAATAAGGTTTGTCACATAAACGAAATGTGCCAATTATTTACCACTTCAGCACACCGATGTGTTGGAGGGTAACCCACAACATTTACAATTCGAGTACGACGTTTTGCTGGTATTTATGACCGGAAAGCAGGAAGACTTCTTCAGAATTCTAGCAAATCACCCCATGAAGCTGGTTGTAATGATATATTGCATTTATTTTCAGACCAGAAGCTCTGTGAGAGAGTTTAACTCACAAGTGGGAATGCTGGAAGGTTCACTCAGCCCTACATTATTCTAGTACTCCTTTTGTGAAATATCAACTGTGCTTCCCATAGGAATGTGGAATTTCAGTGGAGTGGGAGAGTGGTGCAGTGGTTTGCACAATGTGATACATAAGCCAGGTGGCCCGAGTTGGATTCCCAGCCATCCATGATCAACATCACTTGCGAGTAATAGCGAAACCAGTGTTGGATCCCGACACATCACCAAACTGCATTAACCAGCTTGGTGAAGTATGGTCAAACAACCACAATGCCACACTTGGAGGAAGCCTTCATCTAGCTGAGTATCTGAGGACTGACAAAGTGCCATATGTTATGATGATTTAACATTGATAACAACCATCCCATGGTCATTTGATGTAAGATATATTTTTTTTACTGTCTTTGCAATTAAATTTGTGAACTATCAAATGGGCTGTGATAGCACCAATTAGGCCTCGCAGTTTTAGAAGAACATACATGAGGAAATAATTGGTACTAAGATTTCATGCTAGGTTTATTTGGAAGCACTTCTGTCTGTATGGAACTATTTTAAGTTCAGTTACTCACAAATGTCATAATCATGAGCCATTGTCTAGCTACTGTATCTATCCCCCATGTCATAACCATAACGCACAGTCCAGAGATGCTACAATACATCTCACTCCTGCACATATACTGATCTCATTGCTCAATTTCCTGAACAGTTTTCTCTTTACCAGGGCTGCTGGAGAACAAGGAGCAACGGTTCAGGTATGTCGTTTATGGCGGTTGTTTGGCTATACTTCACCATGATAGTGAAGGAAACCCATTTTTTCCCACCTCTCACCAAATACCTGTCTAATATAGGAGCCCCGAACGCTGTATAATTCCACAGGCCTTGAAGAGTCTTGTGCATACAGCCAGTGCCATATTGAAGAAACGTCAAAATAAACGAGATTTTATCTATATTCTTGGTTCTTTCGGTAAAGTCACGTAGAAGGGAAACAATAAAATAATAAAAAAATATAAAACAGCAAGAAATGTATTGCTGTGGTTTTCACACCTGATGATGATTGCTTGTGTTGCAGTCGAAACGTCGTGCGAATTTTATTGTTTTATATTTTTATTATTTTATTGCTTCCCTTCTACGTGACTTTACCGAAAGAACCAAGAATATGAATCCCTGCAGTCACGAAAGCTTTACGTCGATATTTTACGTGTCATATCAATATTAAGTGGTATTTAATATTGTTTTATCTTGTGACCATAAAAAGAGTCAAACAGTCAAAGTGGCATCACGTTCAATTGACCATAGGTTGTTGCTCATCTTGTTTACATCCCTTAACCAGTGGTGGAAATCCCACGTTCCTATGGTGAGGATAAATCTCTCCGTAGGACAACCACTGTTGTGGTACTTATTTGGTCGAATGCAGAGAAGGGCTGAGTCAACCCCAAAACAATATTTGTATTCACAGTCTTCTGATTTCAAGCCACACTCTCCACCACAGCGCCACCCAATCAGATATTTTGCCCAACCCTCGATTAAATCCTGCAGATTTCCACTACAGGTACCATAATATAAGGTACAGTAAACACTGTCTTGTCTAATAGTAACCGCTTAAGAAGACACGCTGTGATGGCAACTTCGGGTGTAATTATTTGCACATGACAGGCAATAAAAAAAGCGTTTCTATATTTGTGAGATGCAGCTAAAAAAACCTACATTTTCCATTCGTAGACGAGTGAAATCGTATTTGTGGTTTGAATTAACAAGATCAGACGACGGTGTAAAAGTGAGTTCAGAATAGAGGCGAAAGAAATGCGAAACGACATGGTTAAATGCGCAGTGGTGTAAGACCAGCTGGAGCAGCGTGCGATGAATAAGCGAGGTCACCGTTTGTGAGCTTACTGCCAGTGAGATGTCACAAGGTTGTTGAGCAGAACGCTACGTGCCATTTCAGCAACGTCCCCAGTAAAGCACCGGAATAATTACAGCTGGCATGCCATTGCAATAGAGGAGCGGGCTGAGTGAGGTGGCTTTGGGGGAAATAACAAATGGTAATTTAAAAATATATATCACATATCAGGTTATTTTCATCCTCTCTTTCAATTGCACTCCCCCTAATATACGTTGCTAACATACAATTCGTTAAAAAAAATGTACCCTCGAAATCCCTAACTGTAGACATTATATACAGCACAGTGCTGCTTTTATTTTACATGTTTTGTTGCATCCAGCGGTGGTGCAGGGGTTCATCGCACCCCCTGTGCGATGAGCCCGGCGACCTGAATCAAATTGCGGCCCTTGGCTAACATGAGCGGCGAGTGATATCTGAACCGGTCCTGGGCCACCACCTCACCAGACCACACTGACGAGCGTGATGCACTACCGCCACACAAAACCCATAACCAACACGGCATGGGGGAGGCCTTCATCCAGCAGTGGATTGACAGAGGGCTGTACATATTTTACAACGTGTAAGGTTGTAATGTGATTTTGCATACGCAAATTTGTAACGTCATTTACTGTGTGTCTTTACCACACACAGAGAGACGTAGCCAACGTGATATTTCAATTGAAATTCCCCTCCAAAAAATCCTTAAATAGGTCAAGCCAAATGCGCATTTTCATTTTTCTGTAATAATCCATAGCCCTCTCTCGCCATTATTTTCATGCTCAAGTCTTAGCTGTCAGATGTGGATAAACCCATCTGTCTATTGGAATAATACGTGAAAATAAGACTGCCCATCTGTCTTGCGTAAATAAGCCTTTGCATCGTCATCAGTGGGGATGGCAGAATGGCCCAGAGGTAGCAAAGCAGGCAAACCACCTCCACTGCGAAAAGATTTCTGCCAATTCTCCCTGCTGCCACCTTCCCCCACCACCACCAATAATCTGGATTGCACTGGAGCGTGTTTTGCCGTTATGATGGGGAGGGTTTTTTATATCCATTGCTTATAACTACGCCAGTCCCACCAAAAGCAATACTCTGGTTACATCACAGCTAAATAGCACGTGTCGGTAACACATAGACAACACTATGCAGTGATATTATACGTTGTACAGTATCCTGCAATTATTGACCGCAGTGTGCCATTAAAGATACGGACCCATGCAGTGTTAGTCATTGTGTTGCCTATTCATTGCCCTTATAAATGAAGGTACATTTTTTGTATTTCTCTCAAACCAAACACGGTACAGTATTCTAATTGCACATCTCGTTAGCATCTAGATGATACGAGGTACATAGATCGGTATACTTAATTCAATAAATAAAAATCACCACACGCGCTATTAAATGGCTTCGTGCTCAATTAATTGGAATGCAGCCCATTTAATAACAGCGGGCTCGTTCAATGCCATTGTATCAGTGTAAGATCCTTTTTTTGTGAAATCGCCGCGGCATTCATGATCATCGTCATTATCAGAAGGAAAAAACACACACACACACACTTTGGCAATGGTACGTAACAAACCAACAACAAAATCCTTACCTGAATCGAACAAACCGATGGTGACGTCTGTTGACCCTGCCACACGGTACAGATTGTGAGAGGTTGCTGCTTGCTATTCGTTATATGCGGGTGGATGGGTGCGAATGAGTCGAGATGGCTCTGTCTGTCAACCTCCGTCCGTCCTGGTCGAATGTCACTGTAAACGCGAGTGGGCTCGCCCTGAGCGTCTATTCCTCTCGAGTGGAGCGTGCCATTCTTTGGCTTTTTGTGGGGGTGCACACCAGAAGTCATTGCACTCAACGTAATTATGCAGACATTTCCATTCTCGATTTAAATAAATATATATACGTTTGTCAATTTACCGTGTTTTTTGTTAAAATATACGCAACGGTTTTTTTTGTATGTATTTTGTAAGCTGGGTGAGTGAATCCTTGAATGATACAATCCGCGACATTAAACCAAATCTTGCTGTCATTTGTTTTTTATAATTTATTTAAATTGTGAAATTCCTTTAATGTCTCGAAGGCAAAACAACTCACTGTATCATGTGTTTTTTGTACATTTACCGACACACGCCCCCATGATGTTGAATCGGCTCAACGTTTATTATTCAATATCAGTACGAGAAGAGTTTATTGAAAAATATGTGCTATGTCAGGTGTGTAGCGTGCATAACATACAGGTTATGCAAAAGTGGCCCATCTGCACGTAGGTATATAATGCGGTGCTGATCAAAATCTCGATATGTGTACAGTATATACCTTCTGAAATTATTAACAATTGTCCTGGATTTTACATGACTGTAATATTGTTAAATTGCAAAAACTATTCACTCAACTCCTGACTAACATACCGGCAAATAATAGTTTGTTTTCTTCTGGAGAGGTGGCTTTAGAGTATATTCACCTTACAAAGCAGGCGTAATGTAATAACATCCTCACATCTCAATGGGTCCTCTTCATTTGCGGTTTTAATCTGCTACAGTTTTCTGGTGAACTGAGTTTGATTCCTGGCCACCACGAACATCAGTGACAAGTGATATCTGAACTGGTACAGTCCTTAGTCATGAGAAATAGCTTATAGAAATGTAATATTACATATTCTTCTTCCACCTATCATATACTGCATACATATCCATTATTTATGTATTTATTTATTTAAAAACTATATAAATATTTTAACAATATGAAATCCCACCAATCCTTGGTTATGTATTTAACAATGTGCAGAGCACCTCCCTAAATACTACTGGCCGTCCTCATCTTCGAAAATAAACAACATCGTTCGTAACCATCAAGTGAAGGTGGCAGCTAAAGGAGCTGTTGACTAGGATTGTGGGATACCGAGTCCGCGATAATACAAGAAAGATTAGACACCAAAATCCAGTGGCATCCCCAACAGCTATGCGGACCCTCGATGACCATGTACACTCAGAATGTACCTATGGTCTAATGATGTCTCATAGTGGCTATACTTGCCTTGGTTCCATGATGATGTAAGTTAACTCTATCGGTTTGGACACAAGAGATGAGAGGGTATGGAATGAAGTTACAGGCCGAGCGCCGCCAGTTATTTGGCTCACTGCAAAAATAGTTCAATCTTGGTTAAGGAAGGTGTGAAAACGTACACAATATCCAACGTCTATAAACCTTTAAACATAACCTGTTGGATGATATTGCCAATCGGACAGAGCTGATAGCAGTAACGAGAAGGTTTTGAGAGCATGGCAGTGAATAGAGAGGTGTTTATTGTGATAGAGGGGAAAAAAGCCTCCTAATGGGGACTTAACCGTGAAATTTCATGGGTCGGATCTAGCAATAAGAAATGTGTTGATCAAGATACATTATCAATACAGTAACTGTATGAATGGAGCCATTTTTATAATAACACTTAAGAAAATATATTGGGACTAATACTCGTCTTGGCAGATGCTCTTTTCCACTATTTATTGGCAGGAAATTACCAAATTAGCACCCAATATCGGTGGAGTCTCATACGAATTGTCTCCAATATTCATAAAAATTAAACAATATTGAGTATATTTTAATCCCATTGACTTACTTAAATTAATGTTTGCCACAAATGTGAATGTCTCTGGGCCAGAATAGATTAAGGGCGAAACGTTGTGAAGCATGGATTTCTGGTGTGAGTTGCGGACACTGGGAGTGCACTTTCTGGTTGAGAAAACCCCGTTGTTGCCACGGAAGAAGGCCCGTTATGGAAACATACAAAGCTTTCAAAACGAGCTTCACTCTCCTCCCCCAGCATACAAACAGCATGTGCTGTATACTTTGTGGGCACCCTTTTGAATGCGCGTGTTTGCTTTTGAAGGGAGGGAAGTCATAATGGTTCACGCACTGCACTGCCATCTGGACGACCCAGTTTAAATTACTGATCAAACTAAACTATTAAACTCGTTTTTATTTTACCAGGTGAGGCCCACTGAGCTATATGGCTCTTTTTCAGAAGCGACCCTGCCACAAATGATAGATACTTCAACGAAGTGGCTTATCATGTGAATATTTACAGCAGTCAAATACTATATTCTAAACGCATGTTGATGCTAAATGTGGAGAGAACAACCCGGTGGACCCGGAACAAAAATCACGCGACCACGGGGAGAGAGACGCTGCAAGCTTCAAATATACAGCAGCAGGCATCAGGGTCGATATCGACCCCATGATCTCCTGCATACCAGGCCAGGTAGTTAACATCTCGTCCACCGTGGCACCCCTGATCATAAACAACAACGCTGCAAAGGTCTGTCTGGACCTGATCTGGTCCTACAATAGACGAACTTTGCCTAAAATGAGTACTCGGCGCTGTATGTAAACATCAACACAAAGCAACAGAAATGTGGAAGCGCTTGCAGAGGTGCTTGCAACACTGCCCACTTGTGCGACATTTTAGCTTTAATATTTGATGGCCCAATTATGTTATTTGTAGTGATGCTTTTGTTGTTACAAGCTTCCCCTCTTTTGCCTTCCCTTCGCCTTCTCCCTCCCCCTGTCCCTTTCTTTCTGCCACTATGTTAGTCATCTTCCTCCCTTACCGTTTTCCCCTCCCCATAAAGACATCCATGTGCCCCCTGTCCTCACCTGGCTGGGGCAGTGAGCCCAGTTCCCCCCCCCCCTCACCTAGGTCCTGTCGCGTCGAACTCGGGGTTGCTGTTCGTGCCATTTCTGCACCCCCCCCCCACCACCCGCGCTTTGTATCGGGCTCCCGTTGAGTTGTTATAAAAACCATTAAAACATAGTTGGTAGGCCCACAACATCTGCACGACCATATATGGGATATCTCCCTTTTTTAGTATAGCTCAGAGTGTTCACAAATTGCAGAAGCATGGCCATTCACACAGATGAAAATACGTGTACCCTGACATATGTCTGGAAGATACTAATACATAGGTAGCATAATGTATTGCCTGGATATATGATATACACAATATTCTGTATACACGTGATAGAAAATGTGTACACGTAAAGGTGCAGCCCTGACATTGCTTGCTTATTGCACTGCTGGTGGAAGGGCCTCCCTTAGCGGGAGCCGTAGAAAGCCCCTCTAGAGGGCATTCTGCCTACTCTTCCATATTGGCCAGACATCTTTGAAGACGATGCAATGTGTATGTTATGCACAACAATACTGAATTCAATGCATTTACAGTGCGATAACCACATGGGACTGTGTCATGGTGCTTAACTTATAGTCCCAAGTTGTAAGAGTTCAAATCCAAGCCATTAATAAACCCTGACCATCGTTCCTCCTCAAGGAATTAAAAAAAACTGAAGGGCCAATTTGTGTGAAAAGTCAGCAGTGTCCTGTGGAAGACCAATCCTTACCAGGAGATGAGGAATGTCCACCTCTGTCAGGGGGGGCTGCAAAACAGATGAGCACCGCTGAGCATTCATTTACTCATTTGAGTGTCGACGCGGCCCTGATGGGCTCATTATATCCAATTATGCATCTGGACATGCACATGTGAAGAAAAGTAAATGGCTCATAAAAAGGGATATTACACGTCAGGAGGGGACGGTTGTGTTATTAAAAAGGGATGTCTTTTTTTTAGAAAAAGGCGGAGTCAAAGGGGGAATATGATTGAGAAACTAAAGGGGAGCTTTGATATTTGTTGAAGGAGATCTATTGAGAGATGCATCGCGATTAGCGAGCTGTGTACCATGGAGAGAGTGGCATTGGGGGTCTGTGCACATGGGGACCAGAGCTGAGTGAGCATGCTGCAGAGGTGGGGTTGGACTAGTGAAAAGTATGGCATTAGTTTCTTACAAAATAGCATGTATTTCAAGGACAATGTTTTGTAGTGTTAAAACAAGTTGAATAATAGTACACTGTACTATATACTTCAGGTGACATGGTTCAACAGTAGTTGTTGACAGACATGCCTCCGCATAGAAATATGGAATTTCAGCCAAATGGCTCAGAGCTGTAAACAGGAGATAACCACCCTCTCAATGCCTGTGTTTATGATTAATAGTCCTATTCATACTTGGTATATGTTCCTTATGATGCAAAACGTAAATACGGTACAGGTAATCCTCGATTTAAGAAAGAGATACGTTCATCAAAAAACAAGTGTAAAACTAAATTTTGTCAGTCGCAATGGCTTTTCCCATTAATTTAACACTAAAAATTATGGATGTGTTTCGGACAGTCATTCCAACTCGACTCCTAACGTCAAAAATATACACCTATATCACGTACCACAACACAAATATAACATAAAGAACATACACGTTAAAACGATTGTAGAACAATTAATAAATCCGCATATTGGAATGCCTGGAAATGTGACATGGTGAGGCGTTAGCGTTGCACTGCAGGGACACCGTGACACTGCCGCGGATGGAAGACGACGCAGCCTCCCGGGAGCTTCTTGTTCGATCTCACGTGGCGTGCCGTGTGAAATTTCGTTCACGCGGAAATTCGATTCCGTTAATCGAAAAGTGTCCGTCGTTTGTCAGTTGTGTTAACGCGACATTTCTGCAAATCGAACGTTCGTAAATCAGAGGATACCTGTAATATGCAAGTACCGCGCTCCTAAAATTCCAAATAACACAGGTTCAAAAAAAAGCAGAGGTGCTTAGTGTAAACGTATCTTTTCCTAACAGCAAACTATTACTGACTAAATGCTATTTAACTCACAGGAAACATTTTGACACTGGAGATTGCTGTCTGCATGCTAAACGCAATGCAGAGCAGTTCTGGGGA